AGCCAAACCGCTTGGTTTCGTTCACTTCTCTACCTGTCAGACAGGAAGCCTCCGTTACCCTCTGGCAGCCAGGCAGGAAATGCCCATATTTGTCTACGGTCTTATGAAATTCTCTTTCTGTCAGAGGAAATAATGGTGTTGTAAATGAGGTGAGATTGTGTCCTCACAGAAAGGTGTGTCTTTCCTGTGAGTGGGAGTCTTTACATAATGGGACTTCAGCTTTACAGGAAAAAAAAAGTACAAGCTGAAACACAACGTCACATGTTAGTGAAGTGTTTTTATTAGAGGGGTTTTTTCCATTACAGCTCTGCTGGACATTACATCTCATTAAGTCACTGTAATGGACTGAGTCAGTCTGCTGCTGCCATGATCACAACAACAAATACCTCTGTTGATTTAGGATTAATAGAAAGTGCATAGATAGTTCAAATGACATCAACGTGTAATTTATAACTGTACTTTTATATAAATGAATCTTAATCTTAGTCTTTATTTTCTATCAACAGGCATTTAAACAGTCATTTTAAACCAAAATATCTCATCTGAACGACTTATGTTACTGTTCATGTGGCTCAGATTTAGGACCACACACACACACAGATGCAATATGTAATGAATCCTGCTTCACAGCCAAAACCAGTGTGGAGTATGCTCTGTAGTTCAGACATATTTGTCCATTGTTTTCTCTAAATTGATCCTGGATGTAAATGTAAGCCAGCGAGTAACGGTTGCCCAACAATATGCCAAAACTAATTGATTAATTTTGCATGAACAACACTGCAGGTTGTCATTAGCTGTGACACCTAGTAATGCAAAGGCAGGTCACAAACAAACAGCACATGTGTTTGCAACAGATACCTGATGCAGGCAGAAACCTGATCCACAGAGTTGGGAGAATTCAGAATTCACTCACCTCTGAGCACAACACTGAGGCAACACACTCACCTCTGAGCACAACACTGAGGCCTGGGTTACATCACAGGTGAGACGGCCCTGTTTGTACCCTCATTTTATATTTACTTGCACAAAGACACACATGCAGCAGGAAGGTCAAACTGAAAAGACAGATTTTAATCAAACCTATCTGTGCAGAGCCAAAGGGACAAACAGTAAACTGAGGACAGTGACAAAGTCGTGCTGATGTCACACGGCTGTCAACACTGAGGTTCAACACCGACGCCAACTGCCACAGTAAATGGAACGCTTTTACACAGCACTCAGTGACGAGAGTGAGGCGAAAAGCAGTCAGACTGCACCCTCAAGCGGTAGAGAAGAGGAACTGTGGTTTTATGGATATTAATTATACATGACAAAAATTAATTGTCATGTCCTTATTAGCCCACATTGGCTAATAAGTAAATTACCCACTTATACTATATATAGTAATATAGTATATCTATACAAATAGCTCTATTATCGGGTTTTATATTTTTAAGAGTGGACTTTTATTTGATGTGGGTCGTTCATTTGACCCCGCTGACGTCACTACAGATGCTAAACAATCACACTTTCACAAAGGTGAAATACCTTTTCCGATTATCTGCAAAAACGTATTGCAGTATGTGGTGGAGAACCAAATACCACAACCGAGGAAATTCCCCCCAGAAAAATCACAAAAATTACCGCTAGATGGTGCCATTGAGTCAACCCGTTGATTTTTAGTTTGCAAATCAAAGCTATGATTTCATTGCAATGAAATTATATTATTATATTAAATTAGTATGCACAAAATGCGTAGAAAACGTGACATCAAACAAATACAGAGAGCAACCTCAGTTATTTTAATGAGCCACTCGAAGCAAAGCAGCAAGTGGTGTCTGAAGCCTGGAATGTTAGTTCTATAGTCGTGTAAAAAAAAGTAACAGTGAGTAATGAGAGCAAATAAGAGCTGGTGCAAAACCTTTTTTAACTGATCTGAACTGTTGGTTTCTATGACAGCGTTTCCTGTTGGGCAAAACTGACAGATGAGTAAATAAGCACAAACAAGAATGTAGTTACTCTTCATCTGTCGCATCCAATCTGCTTACTCTAATTAAAAGGGGATGATAAAAAATAATTCATAAAAAAAAAGAAACTTTACAGAGTTTTTTCCCCCTTTTGAACAAAAACATCCAGTAATGCTTGGTATTTCATGAAAGCAAGTAATTCTGCAGCCAGACCAACAGATGGGTGTGACTGTGTATCCACAATGTCACCACCACTCCTCTTAGTACATCTGCTCCTGGCTAAGGGTAGAATTTATGTAAACCAGCCACTGGCAGCTAGGTCTTGTGACTACCAGCACACAGTGCACTACACATATACACACAAACACAAATACCACAAAGACTAACTGGGGCAGGCCCTGGAGGGCTGCAGTGCATCTCAACATACCAGGTCAGTGGTAAAATATAATTTGTGAAAAGACAGGGAGTACAAGTGTGGAGCTTGGGTTAAATTCTTAAATTCTATGTCGATTAGAAGCCCACTGACTAAATATAGAGGAACATACAAAACAAAAACTATTGAAATACACACATTAGGGTCAGAAGTTGGTTTGAAAGCTAATAAGTAACATTTTGTTATTTACTTTTTATACCTAAGCATGGGCAAATACTGCCTTTTGAACTAAGTCTAGCATATTACAAAAAAATATAAAAATTGATGAGACAAGTTTTTCTTGTACAACACGTATATACATTTTTATGCGGCAGAGAAGGAGTAAAAAAATGTTCTTTTTGAGAGGTGGTATTTCATAACATGCTCTTTTAGAAACATATATTTAACCTCAGGGTCTGAACGTAACACATTGAGAAAGTATGTAAAACCCTCAGCCGAGTAAGGAAGTAGTAAGATCGCCTAAGAGGCAGTGTGGCAAGCACACACAGGCACAGACACACACACACACACACACACAGCAACTCCTACTTCAACAAACTGAGCAGCGAAAGATCTGCTGGGGAATCAACAGATGAGGAAACAGCTCCTGGCCACCGAGAGGCTGCGACGCCTCGGTGCGTCGTCCTTTCTACAACTCACTGGATGTTTGACATAAACTCACCAGCAGAGTTGCCAGTCAAGTCGGCCAGCATTCTACATCTGGGGAATTCTGTGCGTAAAGAGATGAAGACTAGCTTTGCAGAGGCACATTAGCTTCACGGGTTACTGTATAGCATTGGTCACAGCTTCCCACATGATCCCAACAGTTCAGCCATTGTTCCACAAGTTAAACTAATATAGCAATCAGACAGAAGAAGGCCGAGGATGAAATGAACCAAACCTAAACTGCTGGGGGACTTCTCCGATACAGATTCTTTTTATCTACTCCTCTGATCTGGGCAGCAAGGCCCGTAACTGGGTCTCTATAATTTCACAGAACCAAGTTAAAGACTAGGTTTTGTCCGTTGGATATTAGTAATTTACCTGAAGGCAGCCATGTCTGAGTCCCTCAATTTTCTGAGGACCCATATTTTAAAAGTCACAAACCTTCACGACCCAAGTCAACAGACATTATACGTAAAAAAAACCTCAGCTCACAGTCAGCTAAATACCTCCAAATATATAAAACATTACACCTGGCAACTCTGTTACTATTATATTGCATGGTACTGTCCCTTACAGTGTCTGTCCACAGCTGGAACACAACTCCACACAGATGAAACTCCATCATTACTAATAGAGGAAAAAAAAGTACCAGTAGAGCACAGTATCCTCCGTACGTCCAACACGTACTTCCTAACGTCATTTCAGAGAGGGTCACATTATCCAACTTTACGTGTTGATATATATATTGTGTGTGTGAAGGACTATAAGACTGACACATAGAACAAAGTTGATATCTAAACTAAATCCTGACTTTGGACTCAAACCTGACCGTCAGTTGTACCCCGTCACCAGTGATAAAGCAGGAAGTATGTGTTCCACAGAGTCCATGAACAGCAGTGGGTGCGAACCACTCACAGTGATGGGCGTATAGAGAGGAGGCTTTGATGGGGCTGAATGGGGTACTAATGAGTTGGCCTTATCAATGGCCGGTCTGTATTCTGTCCTCCCTAATGGCCAGGGGACATCAACAGAGCAGTTGATGCTTCGTGTAAACATTTCAGCTCCTTCCCTATGTAGGGCCTCTACTTCAACTATCACTCTGGTTTCACTATCTAAGTGGTTCATCTTGGTTTACACTAGAAACGCTGCAAGTAGTCATTAAATGCTATGTATAGGTATAAATATTTTGTGAAATAAAGCCTCAAACTCATAATAATATTAAGATAGTGGGGGTTTTTTTTAGTTTAAATATAGTTAAAGTTCAATAAACAGGAAAATCATTGAATAGACTAAGATAAAACTAAAATTCAAATAACACACAAACAAAACGAGAGATACCAAACCAGATGACACAAAAAACTAAACTGATACATGATGAAAGAATCAATGCACAAAACTTACATGGAAAAACTTACATGACAAATGTGTTTTATATTAATGCAAAATAGTAATCAAATAAATAAGTAATTAAAACAAGTAAAGGAGGTGAAAAATGCCAAGCAGTGTGTCCCAAACAAGGTTTAGAGAATACTACAGATTATAGAGATATATTTACCTTTGACAAACACAAATCAAGGAACTAAATTAACATCATTTTTAACTGACTAATTGTTGCACTCCCAATGGTAATGTTGTCCAGATTAATTGCTCGGGTCCTTACTTTTCAAAATAAATCATTATGTGACAGGCAGTAGGTGGGGCTTTTAGGAGTAATGAGAACATAAGGCCCAGACAGCTCGGTGTACCACAGCCTGTCACCTGTTGGACACCGCACTCCTACATATGTGTGGCAGGTGCATAAATGCCACACACTTGAGTGTACATTAGCTGTGTTGCCACACACTTGTTGCATAAACGGTTCGAAAGCAGAGTCAGTGAACGTCTCACGGCAGAGCACAAACTGTTGCTTCAGGTAGAAGCGGCGCTGTGTTCGCGGTAGTTCTGCTTATTATTAATGTGACAGATGTCGGTCTTACCTGCTCGGTCGCTGCTCGTGTCTTCTTTCACTGAAGCCCAACTCTATCCGTCAACAAGAACTGGGAGGAGACGTTTTCTGCCTCTGCTCTCCGGGTCTGTCGCTCACGTCGCAATGTCACTCGGCTACAGTAGCGCCGCTGTGTTTACACCATGAGACCAAAGGGGACGGGCAGCTTTAACATGGAGCGGTCTGTCGACGTCTCACCTGCCACTTGGCACCTCTTTCACTTTTCGCAGATGGTTCGGTGTCAGTGATGTATAACCGTTGACTTTTTTTCCTCTTCCTCCACAGAGAGAGAACTCTCCTTTCCTTTTCCTCGTCCACTTCAACGAACGACGAAAAGAGCCGAGTCTGGTCGAGAGGAGAACGAGGAGGGAGGGAGGGAGAAAGGCGGACCAATGAGAAACTTACTACTGTTTCAGGCAAAATACTAACCACATCCGGCTATTTTCAAAATAAGACTAAAATGCACAGCTTCAGTAAATCCCCGAGGGAAATTATTTTTGTGGGACACAATAATGTACCAAACGGTTAATACTATGCTACTTAAACCACAAGTGACTACAATACAACTTAAATTTCAACAAGTTGAGATTTGGTATTGGATTTTAAAAGATCTATCAAATTCATTATTGATAAAATTCATATTTAAATATTCATATTTCTAGGCTTACTGCTATATTATGCACAGAACCATCTCAGTACTGTACAGCAATAAATGTGTACTTCAAATGAACATGATAAGTGCAATTTTTTAAGTGTACACCAAAAAAAAAAACTATAAAAATTAACAAATCTCTGAAGTGTATGTGCATATACTCCCTCAAACTACATCAGTCTGTGAGAGGTGCAGTGTTCCTACACAGCTACATGTTCCTACTCAGATAAGTGAGTGAATTTAATCACAACAGCAACCTGGCTGCCAGGATTGGAGGCGTGCACATTCCTTAAAAAAGTGTAAGTAAATACTGTGTACACTTTCAATGCCAGGTATAAATGACTACATTTTTGTTGCTAACTTACATTCCTATCTTTATTACTTACCTCAGCAGACAGATGACACAGTCAAAGGATAAAAACAGGTCACAGAAATATGTTCGGTAAAAGTCTTTTTTTTATTTAAATTATAATAGAAAAAAAAAAAAACCTAAAAACAGCGTAGAGCTAAAGACAACTTCCAAAACATGGTTGATGTCTGATGCATGTGTGTGATGTTAAAAAGAAGCACCTTATAAAAAATAGATATCTACATTGTAACATAATGAACAGTACAGCATCCATGTCCCAATGTGGTGTGTACATTTGCCCCAAATATATTGTAAAAAAAAAAAAAACTATTGCAAAACTAATATTGACAGCAGTCCTCCACATTATCTACTTTCTAGGAAATGTGTGTATGTGATGTACATCAGGCTCTGAATACCTTGACCGAGTAAAACAAATTTTAAAGCAGATAATCTGGCCGGGTGGCTGAATAGTATTATGTTTCTGCCGTGTATCGTGGTCAGACGCTGGGATCTTTACAAACCACACTGTTCCTGCAAACAGGAGTGTCACTGCTGCAACTATTTTCCCTACGCTTAAATCTCCTTTTTTTAAAGCAGCTTTTCAGTACCTGACTTAGAGTCAAAAGCGTTGTGCAACACTGACAAATACATCATTGTTTACATGAAAGAAAATAAAAATATATATATACCTATGAAATGAAAAGGACTGATAGGAGTGTTGATAATAGGCAGCCTTTAGATAGACGAGGAGGAGGAGGAGGAGGGAGGGTATGTAGAGAGTAGCACGTACTAGGTTCTACAACAGATGGTTTTGGGAGAGTGGACTCATGCACAGTGAACTGTTGCTGTGTGGTCAGTGCTGAAAAATGTAATGAAAAAACCCTATTGAGAATATATATATATATATATAGAAGGGAGGGGTTGAGTGGAGCAGTAGGTAAAACAGGGGAGTGTCAAATAGGTATGAAATCTACTCCTGGGCCTCTTTGCCAGTCATCTTGTAGATCTCTGTGGGACCGTCCACGTGTGTGATGGTCGTGGTCAGCTGGATGTCTTCTCCACTGTTTGCAGCGGCATCACCTGCAAATATAAAGGCAGTCAACACGACGAAATATTTTAGGGAATGCGACTTGCGAAACAAAGTTGGGTTCGGAGACGGTTCCTATCTGTTTCACAGCAGGCGATGATTTAAGGAGCGTGAGGTTGGTTTGGCTCGAGTTATTTATATCAACATAACAAATTAACATCCAGCTTGTTTGAAACAGAAGTGAACCCCCAGAGCTGTAAAATAAATCAACACGTTGAGTGAAACTTGGAGCGAGACACCCCTCCCATGAGAACACTTGATGGACGTCAGGGAGAGCCTCCAAGACTTCAAATGCCTTTTCTCCCTTCGCTTGTCAGTGACGTCAGGAGATGGATGGTTTTCATTACTTGCCTGCTCTCCACCCCGCCCCCTCTCCTGCCTGTTCCCCTCCTCTCAGTCTGGAAGGAAGCCTGGAGTCCATTAGAATCACCCTCTCAGGCCAAAGAGACCCTTCTTTCCCTTGGAAATCCAAGTACTTCTCAATTCAATTCCCCTCCTCTCCCCTGGTCCCAAAACACATTTGAGGTGAATGGACAGCTTTGCAGCACAGAAAAGCTACTTGCTGCTTATCAGGATGAGGTAAGATGTAGTGGAATGATATGGAAAATTACAGAGTATATCTTGTATAATTTCTTGCACCACCTTGAGAACAACAGAAGTCAGTAAATGTAAATATAATGCATCGTTTCCAGGACTGCACTTACCACTTGCCTGCTCATCTCCGTAGCGCTTGTGAGACGGAGCGTAGAGGAACATGATTGCAAAGACGTACAGGTTCCACATGCCGTAGATACCGGTAAAGAAGGCGCTGCCCACCTGCACTGTGTGCCCTCCCCAGTGCCAGTGTCCCTCATTGACCTGGAGGAAAGACGCACGCACATCTATCAGTTCTCATAAAACAAATCAGTGAACAGCTCGTGTTCAACTCGAAGACGATGCCAGTGCAACTCACCTGGCTGATGATGAAGAAGATAACAGTCATGGCAGCACAGGCCAGAGTGACCAACATAAGGAACTTGAATCTGAAAATGAGGCCCTGGACAGTGACAGAGAGGACATGAGGTTAAAAGAAGACCCACCAGAAGAGTTGGCAGTGGCTAACCAGACAAAAGCAGACCTCGTAGTGTAGGCGTCTTGCCTTAGACATGGCAGGCAGAGATGTCCTTTTGCCACTGATGTTTCGAAAAACCTGGAAAACCATGAAGCAAAGGAAGAAAAAGTAGAGACAGGCGCAGATCCCTGCCACAATAATGAACGCCATCTGAGGAAACACGTGTTAAGGACTGTGGTAGGAAACCAAAAATAATCACAACAACAGCACTACCTTGGGTGTAGACAGTCAAATACATGATCCAGTATGTGGAAACAATGTATACATTTATTTTAAGTTTTTTTTATTCTGATTTGGTTAAAAAAAACACTGATTAAATGGATACAGCCAGTTCAGTTCCAACATCAGAAGCCCAGATGCTGTAGAAAGGGTTCGTCAGCTGAACACCTCTAAAAAAAAACAAAACAAAGGAGCACATTTAGATTATACATTTCATCACGGGGAAGAAATGAACAGCAGGTTGAAGATGTATTGTTGGATTTATTCTTGTGGTCGTACTCTGTAGTTTATGTGCAGAGAAAACGTTAGTCTCACCTCTCACACATGTCAAAGATGAAAAGGCAGAAGGAGCCAAATACAATCGGTCCGACCTGCTTCCAGTAAACTGAGAAACGGTTTCTCTCTGTCTGGTCCTGTGGGAAAAAGAACAAGTTTGAGCCAACCTCAAAATAAAAACCTCACCAAACAGGCATGAATGATCCTGTGGGGATCTGTAAAGTGGGCCTGATCTGTCTTGTTGGAGATTAAATAAATGCCAGGTAAAACAATGACATTAAAGCATACTTTTGGTATTAGATTCCTTCATTTTGGGCTGTATATGTCACATGATCTGTCTGTCTGTCACTAGAGGGCAGACTATCATTTGAGTGGGCAACCACAGTGCACATTCTTAAATGTGATTTAGACTTCCAGAAAGCCTGATACTGTACCATAAGGTGCTCCCCACAGAAGATGATCCAGAAGGAGAGCAGCATGGAGTAGAAGATCCCCTGTCTGATGTCTCCAAAGAGCAGCATCCATGTCCAGTTAAAGCCGATAGAAAACCACTCCACTGGGATGTTAATGAATGTCATGGAGATGCCCAGAGCCAGGATGACCCTAAAAGAGGACAAAATAGCTTTAGTTAAACATGTAATTATTCTACTTCTGTAAAGTTTTAAAACCTGTTTTTACTTTTTTTTTCTACAACATGTGGATCTATACAAGATATGAATGAAGCTCGATACAAGTGTATGAGTCATGCAAGTACAAAATCATTCAGTTCTATAATGCAAGTCAGCAATGTTCCTCAGAGCAAATGTGGTATGCACGGAATGTGCACTGATTACTACCAACAGGGGCAGAAGAGAGGGGAGTGGAGATCAATCTTAAACGTAAAGTGGATGAAGAAGAAACAAATTTAAAAAACAAGAAACATAAATAAATAAATAAATCCTGATCGCAGCACTTTATATCTTTAACCAGGTCAAAATTCCGTTTTACTGCACCTGAAGTCAAGACGTCAGATCATAAAATAGTCTGAATTTATTTTACTGACACGTCTGTGGAGAGACCCTAGTAAAGCTTTTTACGGCATAAAAAAATCATCTGCTGTCGCACTTTCTAAGTGTGCTGCTCATTTGGGAATAAGTCCCTTGAGCTGGAAACGACAGACACCACATACACTCAGTAGCTGTCCCAGAATGCCGTGCCCTTGGTGTCCTGAAAATGTTGGTGCAGCGTGTGTGTTGACTGCTGGCTTGCAGAATTTCTTTTCTTTCTTTTCTTTTTTAAACGGTCCACGCATGGTCAAGCATTTCCTGTGGCAGAAAACGCTGCCTCTTACTGATCATGACAGAGCAGCACGGGTGGGTTAGACAAATACTCTGTGCTTTGGGTCAATGTTCCTTTCTTTGCTAGAACCCTGTTCTTTGAAATGTACAGACTTTATTTTGTACAACACATCAGCAGAATGGCAATGTGGAGCACTTACTTTTCCAGAAGCACAGGAGGTCTGCTCATAAGTGTTATGCGCCTCCAGTACCAGATCATGATGATGAGTATACTGGGTGTGAGGAAGGTCTTCATGGCAAACCAAACTTTAGTGAAGCCTCCATTCTGGTGGATGCTCTTGGATGGAGAAGAAAGAAAGAAACATTACATTAAAACTTTTTTTCTAAAGTTCTCAACCTAACTATGAAATATATATAAAAAACATTTCTACACATCCCATGGTGTGAAAACAACAAAATAATGTCACTGTATATATTCAATGTACAGGTGATAAAGACAACTCACAACGAGACGAATGTCTTTGATTTCACCAATCCCCACGTTGATCTTCTTGCGCTCATTGACGGGCAGACGAATGTTGAGAAGATAGTATTTATGGGCCACGCTGCCAATTTCCATGAAGGGCAGCAGGTCACATTCATAGTAACGTCCCTCGTTCTCATAACTCTGAAGATCACAAGACAAAACATCTGGTTTTAAACACATTTATCTGAACCCAACTGCTAATTTAATATTCCCCAGATTGAAGACACAACCCTAGTTGAACAATTACAATGTGAAGCAGCTGCAAATGAAAGGGTTTTTAAAGAACAACAGCTCAGGGATGCATTAAATACTTTGAAACAATAGCATCTGTTAGCAGTGAGAGAAACGTCATGACTTCTACCCAGGTGCATTATGGACAAACCTTTGCAGTGGTAAAGTTGCAGCTGAGTTTTCTTTGTTCGAAAGAGTGAGCCATCTCTGTCCACTCACTGATGGTGTCATCCCTGTAGGCCAGCTTCACGTCCAGAGTCACCAACGCACCATCCTCTGGAACAAAAAAGAACCAGTCAGCTCCCTGCTCCCTTTTTGTTGTTGTATGCATCAAACGTATGCAGGTAGAGCTACACATCCTTGTTTACATTGTAATCACTTGCTGCAAAACGTGAAACACATGCTGGTTCAGGCCGCTGTTAAAACTAGTTGGCACAAGATGGCAGCGTCTACACTTTCACAAACCTTTGCCAAACCAATGTTCTTCCCAAAGATACACACGAGACGTTGAAGCCGAGAAACAGTCAAACCAAAAACCTCATGTTTGTGAAACATGGGAAGAAATGGATTCAGACCTGTCTATTCCAATGCACAGTTACACAGCTGTGTTACACAGATGTGTTACACTGTAGGGTAATATTAGGTTCTGATGATGAGACTGACAGACCTGACCTTTCACTACAGTACCAGCTACTGTATTATCACTCACCTTCAGTGCAAACGGGCCTGACAGGCAGCAAATGCTTCACATTCCTTTATTCATTTTGTGTGACACAATGTAGAATATTAAGTTCTGTTGATATTTTAAATTTCTTTATATGACAAAACAGGATTTTAAGTTGTTCAGTCACTTGAAAATAGGGACTCAATCAATTCTTTGCATGTACAGAATACATTTTAGAAACAAAAACCGCACTCTTAGCAAGAAAGGAACAACATATTTTCTTTGTAAATAACCTTCGCTTCGTTGCCACCTCCATGACACAAACTTCCACCAAACCTTGCTCTGGCCACTAGACCAAGACTGTTAAAACTCCATCTTTAGATCAGATTACAAAGTGTTGTCTCCTCCAGCCTCAGAGAGCCTCTTGTTCTTTACGAAACAAGCTGGAATAAAAAGAAAGAAACTCAGTGACCTGTGATGTAACAGGGGTGGGGGGGGGGAGAACAGAGACAGAGACAGAGAGGAAGGTTGGTGAGAATTGGCAACAGACTCGTCTCTGCAACGTCCTTCCCTTTGCTCTTGGTCGAGCCAGACACCCTCAAATGTCCGCTTACTTCATACAAACATTCCACTTCAGTCCAGCAGCCATCGCCACAGAAACTAAGCCTCCTCGACAGCTGTGTTATTGCTGGAGCTCAGCCAAAGGGTGCTCGATGCTGAGGTGGAGTGAGGTGGATGGAATGGTTAATAAAGACAAAGCTCCTGCATGGCATAAACACAGATTAGTCAGAGAAGAGTCGGCTTTGTCTCTAGAGCGGAACCCTCCAACCTTTGGTGCAGATCATTGTTTATACCCCACCTTTTAAGCCACAGCCTATGCATTGCATTAAAAAATTCTATAGCCCCATAAAATATGAAATTAAATATAATAATCTTATAGTTTCAATTTACTCACTCAGCATTAAACCCTGGCCAATTTGGTGGAACACAACCCTGACATACTGGCAGGAACTGAAGAAACAAACAGCTCTCTGTGAGCTAATGTTTTTTAGCAACATACGCCCAGAACGGCATTGTTTTGCAAGTTTTTTCCCTTCCCGCAAAATCAAACAGGTTCAGAAGATTTAAGCCTTTTAAATAAAACTTTTGAATTCAGTACTGCAGCCCTGTCCACATCCACTTGTTCACACACTGAAAGATCAAAATGAGTGTGTAATGTCTGGCACAGGGTCGGGGCCAACTCCTCTGTCTGCCTGCCAGGCAGCAGAGACCCATCAGGCTCTTTACAGATTTCACCGAGCACAAGAATGTGGAAAAGTAAACGACGCTGACAAGACTGTTTACACAAAGCAGACCAGAGAGACCACACCACGAACTGTTCATCTTTTCTTTTCTTTTTTTGTTGGACCCTAAATTTGTAGTTTGAAACTACTTTTCAAATTTCAGTATGTTATACACATTTCGAATGCCTTAAACATTCTAAGTTTAGACGCAGAGACATCCCTTTCCCTTTGGATTATAGGATAGTGCATTACATGTAGTCAGCCAACTATAAAAGAGAACCAGATTACCGTTTCCCTCTTTCTTTATTTGTTTGGAAAGGGTGCCTGAAAGACCCGTCTCCTGCTACGGATAATAAACAGCAGGACATCCATCATTGTTTGCAGGCATTCTGTGTCACAGTAATTCAATCGACTGACACAGACACGCCACCGGGGATTCTGAGAACAACCCCCTCCTAAAACCCTTCAATAAGTCCGTAGCAGGATTCAGTGGAAGAGGAAAGGTAATAAAAGTGTAATCTAACATGCCAACCAGTATTTCTGGTTGTTCTGTGACCCTGCGCTCGAATTTACAGTGTGAGTGATTAGAAGTGACATCAGATGTGAATATTTCAAAGGCATGCCTGGTCTGATTGAGCCTCTGTGTATAGTTGCTGCCAGACTGTGCGACTAAGAAATAGCAGAGGAGACCAAGGTTAGGGTTAG